ATTAAAATATTTTTGCACACTCATTTTCAATAATTATAATAAATTAAATAGGGCTGTTGCATTATTAGAGGGAGTGTTTTGTAAGGCTTGAAACTGAGGTAAAGGTTGTTTTTTTTTTACCCGCTTCCCTTCTCTGTGAGAGCGCTCCCCTGGGCTCCGGCTCTCCCATGGGTCTTTAGGGAAAGCACACAGCCCAGACAGAGCCCGTTTTACTCGGTGACTTGATAAGTAGCCACACTCTCCCCAGAGGGGAGGAATTAAAGGGGGGTGTGGGATGGGAGTCAAGACCCCTGTCACCCGCAAAGCAAACTGTGCTTTATTTGTCTTTGTTTATTTTATTTCTTAACGTGCCATTATAATTATAATAGCTGTTGCATGCAGGAAAAAAAAAATCAAAATTCCCTAAAACATAAATTTCAGCAGTTAGCTTGCATCCCCTATAATAATATTTTTTTTTCCTATACTAACTGAGGTCATAATTTAATTCAAATGCTGGTCCTTTCCTTTTGTCCTTAATCGTGCTTCATTTTAATAATTTTAATCCCTCGTATTATGCAGATTACAGGAGAAAAGTATATTGTCTAAATCCGTATAATTTTCTCATAAAATATCACAAGGTTTGATTTAATCATTTGAAGTCTGGTATTTTTTTTATTCCAACAATCAACAAGAGCAAATAGGGATTGAATAAAACGTTGTCTCACCTGTCATGGATGGGTCGAAAGGAAGACTTCAGGATCTGTGTTGGAGGTGAATCAGACCTAACACCGTTTTCATGATCTAGAAAGAAAATTAGCAAAAACACTTCTCAGTATTGATGTTCTGGATTAATTATACAGGACTTTAATTTTCTTTTTCTTTTCTCACAGATGATTAAGTTTAAGCAAAACTGAACCCTGTGTTGTTGTGTACGTAGAAATTGATTTTAGTGTCCATGCGCTTTTACGCACGTCTGTGCAATACTTCTAAATATGATAATCAGATGCCACAGAAATGAGAAACAGAAATTACCAGGATATTAATACACACATATTTCATATTTTAAAAGTAGCGTGCATTTTACTAGCGTGTGATACTTGTGTGTATGTGTACACACTGTGTTCCTACCTATGTGTTTGGGACTGTGGGTCTCTGGTGGGGTCTTGCTGTCATTGCTGAGCGCTGCTGCAGCTGCTACCGGAGACACCACCACCGACGTCGGCTGCTGCTGCTGCTGCTGGGTCGGCAAGTGGTGGTTGTGGTGGTGGTGATGGTGCTGGTTTACTCCCAGAAACGACCGCACGTTGAGCAGGGAGTTCTGGCCCAGGAAAGCCCCGTTCGTCCAGTTGTGGAACTTTCCAATCTGGCAAGTGTACAGTCCGTGGCTGGGGAGGAAGGCCGGGTGGGTTTGGATCTGGTGGTGGGGGGCTGACGGGTGAGTGGTGGCCGCGGGGCCACAGGGGGACGTGGGTTTCTGGGATGAACTGTCGGGGCTAGTGGCGGTCTCTGCTAGAGACCAGATCTTAGGCTTGTTGTTGGACGGGAGAGGAAAGCTCCCGGATCTGTCCGGAGACAAAACTCTAGTCGTGTTGTTGTTGTTGCCGTCCGAGCTCTCCTTACTTCCTGCGTGAACTGAAATTGTGCTCTTCGATTTGTCAAAGGCCTCGTGGGCCTGCAGGGCGAAGGCCCGTCTCTTCTCCAAGCTGTCCAACTCTCCCCCCGCACCCACACCGCCCCTGTGCTCCCTGCTGCCCTCCGTCGATTTATCGTCATCATCCTCGTTGCTCTGATCCCCGTCGTTGTCGTCGATCTTGTCGATGTCTATGCTCTCCAGATCGATCTCCTCCTCGTCTTCGTTCTTCTCCGCCTCGTCCCCGCTGCCGAACAAGTTGCCGTCCTCCCCGTCCTCTTTGCTCCTGCCCCAGGTCACCTTGTTCTCCTTCTTGAGCCTCCTCCTGGCGTTGGCGAACCAGGTGGACACCTGCGTCAGCGTCATTTTGGTGATGATGGCCAGCATGATCTTCTCGCCCTTGGTCGGGTACGGGTTTTTCCTGTGCTCGTTGAGCCAGGCCTTCAGGGTGCTGGTGCTCTCCCGGGTGGCGTTCTTGGGCCTGGCCGGGTCCCCGTACTGGAACTGACCGTATGGATAGAAGGCAGGTGAGGTGTGGGCTGCAAAGCTGGCAGGGTGCACGCCAGGACCGTCCTTCAGCTCATACTGGGACCCCTTGAAAAATGCAAGATGATGTGTTATTACAATTTGGCAATTAATCATTTTTTTCCCACATAATGAAAAAGCACGTGGTTTGATTAGACCCCCCCTCACTCCCCACACACACACACACACACACACACACACACACACACATGCATTCTGGCCATTATCTGCAATCCACACGAGTGACATGGCTGCTATTAAAAAAATCCTAGAGTACAGTTGCACCTGACTCTGAGCTTTCCACAAATAAGCTTCTCAACTTGCACAGCAGCACATGAGGCCTGCGACACCTGCGCCTGCACAGCCACTCACCATGAGGCGCAGACCTTTTATTAGCAGACATTTTTCACACATGTCAGTCTAATAAGGGAACAAACAGCGAACAGGACAAGAGAAGGCCCGTCTCATTCTTGGTGAACGCGCACATCGCATGCAAATTGCCAGCTTTCGTGCGTACCTGCCAAAACTCCCTCCCCCCTCTCCTCCTCTCTCCACTCTCCTCAAGTTATATGTCAAAGCAAGTTTGAAGGCCTAAGTTAAGTTTGCCCCAGCACGCATCATTTATTAATCCTCCCTGTCGTCGTTTCCACTTGATTCTGACACCGCAGCACTCACACACATATCGACCAGTTCCAGGAACATCCACACATGCTCGGGTTTATTTATTTCATTTGGATAATGGCCTTGCCGTTGTTTTGAAGCTTTAGCGCAGTAGTTAGTGTCTTTACGGACCTGATGCTCACATTAGCCAACACATTAACACACTGCAAGTTAATCATTATCACCAGGGGGATTTTTTTAGGTCAGAGAAAGTCGGACAATTCTTCATTAGGCACAGAAAAAAATCTCATCGTGTAATTTAGTGAGAAAATATTATAGCTTGGCTACACTGCAGCACAGACTCAACAGATATTAAACTTCATTGCACATTTATAGCATGAGTTATTTAAATTAAAATAGATAATATAATGATCTCATAAAAAAATATCTAGCTGGGATACAAGACTGAGAAACGTTCTTTTTTAATGGTGCGTAAAAACGCAGATGCACATATTTTTTCCTCTGTAAAATTAATTTAAACTTCGTAATCAATCATTCTAACACTATAATAATAATTATGTGGTTGGTGTGTTCCACAACCATGCTTTTCTTTACTTCAGGCCTTATTTTTCCTTCTGATTTTCTTTGTTGTCTGGGGCCAAACTTTTCACAAGTTAACTCAGCTAAACAAGACACCGATCTGCTCAAAATCAAGCAAATTTATACACTGAAATTTAATAAACCCCTTAAAAATGAAGTCATATTATTTTTTTTAAAGATATTCTCCTAATTCGTTTGGTTAGATAGCTCACAATGTAGTCTATAGTTATTTTTTTCTTTGTATGGCAAAGTTGAGCGTTAACAACCCTCCGTGCGAGTCCTCAAACATGGAACAGAAGAAAACAGAAATATGTCCTTACCATTTGTGAGAAAAGAGCCAGGTCCGCGCTGGTGTAAGGTAAGAAAGCGCTGTAGTTGTGCGCGTACGGGTTGGCGTACATGCCTAACACCGAAGTGACCGCCGCCGCGGTGGCGGAAGGACTACCCCCGATTTCGGTGCTCCCTCCGCGGGACGAAGGTGTAAGCACTCCCGGTCTCTCGCCCCCGTACACCGCCTGGGAGGCACTTAAGTACTGCGGGTAGCCTAGCTGGGGGAAAGACATCTCCTCCGCCGAAACTGTGGCACAGCCTGTATCGTCCGACAAACTGTGCGTAAAAAGACCAAAAACAAGTGTGTGTGGTGGAAGAAAAAAAGAAAAAGAAAAAAGGAACCCAGATGAGTAGAGGGAAAGTGTTCAAGCCAAAGTCACAGCTACTGCAGACATACAGCGGTATGTGCCGTCAAAACAAGCCCGCTCTTAAATCTCGGCTTCCTCTCTCTTTTTCTCGCGCAAAGTCCGCTGGATGTGATCTGATCAACAATTGCGCTCCGACTGACGCGCCTGGCCCTGAGGTCTCCGGGCTGATCTCTCAGATACAATTTGAAGTTGATGCTTTGATTGGCATCCCCTACTTGAGCCTGCAAGCTCCTCCTCGTTTGGAGCAATGTGGATAATGTGAATATGGAGTGAATCACATTGGCTGGGGCCTCTCTCTCTCTCTCTCTCTCTCTCTCGCTCTCTCCCACTCTCTCTCTCTCTCGCTCCCCCCTCTCTCTTCCTCTCTCTCTCCTCTTCTCTCTCTCTCTCCGTGTTTGGACTTATTGTATGTTAAATGTTCAAGCATTAGAGTCCATTCACCGAAGGCTTTGATTGTTGTATGACAACCTGTCTACAAGATTTTACAGCTGTCCGACACAGGAGGAAGTAAACCCGTCAGAAGAAGGAACTTACTTTGAATAGATTTAAATTGTGGACTAATTAAAAATGGAAGAATTGTTCCTGCGCAGAGGATTTAAAATTTGGTACCAAAGACTTATGCTGCGTTTATTTAATAGTGACTAATTTACTCCAAAAAGTGTATTTCTTCAAGTTGAGCTTATTCTTTGTAAAGTACGTGTCCTTATTTAATACCAAAACTGGTATCCTACTTGTTATAGCAATATTATATTTATGTGGACAATATATTATTTAAAATAAACGTTTTAATAAAATTACCCAAACAAATTAAGCTTCATATTTCAGCCATAACCTGTTTTAATTTTTATGACGCACGTTTTCCAAAAATCCAAACTGCACCGATCTTTCCACATCATTTATTGATTATCTAGCTTTTTATTGACTTCTGTTTTGCTTCTCTTTGATTTCTTCAGAAAGGTTTTATCCGCCAACTTCTCCCTCCCTTTTTTCCTCACCCTCTTTTCTCCCATCTGCACGTGTGTGTGTGTGTGTGTGTGTGTGTCTGTCTGTATTTGAGAGTGTGTGTGTGTGTGTGTGTGTGTGTGTGTGTGTGGATTTAAACCAGATTGTTGTTGTCCCTTATTGCAACAGCACAGCCACTTCACGTCTCCTTGTTTGGAGAGAATAGGGATGAGGAAAACTCAAACATGGATCAGGTCCCTGTGCGCACAACAAGCTTTTATCCATGTACATTTCTACGCAGCTAATTTTAAAGTAAATGACGTGGCAGCACTTTCAGCACTTGTACTTAAAAAGAAAATCCGAATGAAGAATAATTTAGCCGTCACATAAATTGGATTTATGCGTTCCTAAAAGACACATACTTTCGGGAATTTTTTCATAAATTAGACATTAGGAAATAATATAATTCAACAAGAGTTGAATATGAAAAGAAAACTAAATCTGATGCTATAACTTCTCGCCTCTTCTTTAAAACAACAATTTCCAACTCCAAAGAAAATAGTCCGTTTTTCTTCTGACCTGCAGCCGCGTGGCTCAAAGGAGGAGGAATGAGGAGGCTTGTTGTCCGTTTCTTAACATTTCTATTTTTATTTGATTAGATTCTTATATCGCCCATGCACCTCAACGTGCAGGGCTGGGGGTGGAGTGGAGTGGGGTGGGGGGTTATTCTGTAGATCTAGATTTAATGCCTTAACGACTGGAAGCCCAAGAAGTCAGTATAGATTTTGATCTGCACCAGATGGCTCCGAGTGGATATTGCCCGAGCTCTAGCGCCGAGGATCTGTTAGAAAAAAAATATCTGAGGGGCACTGATGGTAATCTGGGTAACACATCAGAAAGGAGGGGAGGAATGGCAATTGTGATAACCCGGTGGAAATGTGCGCATGGGAGGGGGTGGACTATGTGATGGTCGTGGTGTTGGAGGGGGTGACAGTGAGGACACTAGAAATATCTCTCAATAGAAATAAAAAAAATAAAACGAGTTGTAAAGTAAAAGGGTGTGACAATGTAGCATGATTATTATTAATCATAATGTTATTATTTTTTATTATTATTAATAATAACAATTGCCTAATATAGTTATTTCTTTATTTTTTTCCAAAGAGAACCTTTTTTTCCTTATTTTCTGAAGAGCAAGTTGACTCCTGGTAAACAGTGACAAGTGTTGAGGGCAATAAACCATTATCGTTAACTGATTTATTGGGTCTTGTTAAACTCTCATTACCACCACAAGCTCCTCAGCTTCCACCCGGAGAGAGAGAGAGAGAGAGAGAGAGAGAGAGAGAGAGTGTGTGTGTGTGTGTGTGTGTGTGTGTGAGAGAGAGAGAGAGAGAGGGAGAGAGAGAGAGCATGTAAAACTTTGTTCCGGCTCCCCTCGCCGCGTCCATCCAGCTATCCCCCCCCACCAAACACGCTGACTTCTAATGCACTGCCTGGAAACAGATGTGCATTCAACATCTGTATCTGACTATGACGCGCCTTTACGCACACGCTTCCGCACACGCACGCACAAGTATACACCCGTCATGACTTAAGAATTTTTAAATACTCTCTCTGTCTTGAAAGAAGGTCCCCAGGCTTCTCATATCAGATTAGTTTAATCATGTAAATCTACAGGAGCCTCTTCATAAGCTGTTCTGCCTCGGCCACATTCTACTGATTCACTCAGGTGGAAAAAGAAATCCTGCCACCATGTCATCTTTAAATTGAGATTTTCTTTTTTAGATAAAATGCATAATTATAATAGAGATGTGATAATATTGTTTAGATGTTACCGATGCATTATGTAAAATATCTCGGCTACATCCACCCATACAATGTAAAATGTGAAAAGGAATTATTCAGTTGGACAATAGAAACCGTCATTATAAAGTAGAAATAAAACTTTCAATTGTACATTATAACAAAACACTCACACACACACACACACACACACACACACACACACTTCAAGCATTTGTCTGTTATAAAAATAATGCCCTATCATTAAAGACAGGCCAGTAAATCTAACACCATTCTACAAAGGTAGAACACATATGGCAGCACTTTGCAAACCACATCCATATATATTAGTTTTTAGGATTAGTGTATAACTTTTGTCAATGTTTCTATTATCAAAAAGATGCATGCATGCTTTATATAAATGTGCTAACTAAAACAATGTCCTCTTGTAAAGCAAATAGCAGAAAATTTAGATTTTGCTTATTTTTTCTAAAACATATATTTTCTTAACTGTTGATTAAAACTTAACCCATAAAAGTTAGTTAAATAAATTGCTGTTGCACTGTAAAACACGTGTTTATGTCAGCACTGCATTTTAAAGCTAAGATGTTTGCCAGGTTATGTTGGTAATAGTCTTGTAATTTAGCCTGTTTATGTTTAAAATCTATGCGTGCTTGTTCTCGGGCCTGTCAGACATATTGAAGCCAACACACAGGCCTGAACGATTCCACTCGAATTGAAAGAGAGTGAACCTGCATTACAAAAACATGGGTTATGTTGACAGTTGGCTACCACCGCAGAGGTCAAGGGTGTCTCTGTGAACTAATAACTGTGGTGAAAGATACTCCTTTCCTGCCTCTGGGAGTGCCAAAGTTGAGGAAAGGTTAAGAATCTGCAGAATGTCCCTTTTGTGCTTTTTCTCACAGATTATCAAATTAAGTGTTGAAACCAAAACTCCTTCTCCCCCTGGAGGGAGGAGATTAGATGAATATAACTGATACCAACGGACCATCACAACTGTTCAGCCGACCTCTTCCCTTTAACATCGCACACAAAACACTCACACGCGCTCAGCTCCGGTTTATACTCCCCGAACTGCGTCAGACCAACCCGACTATTTAGCTGTGAGTTAGAGTCGCAGGACCACTGGTGTTACTGTGAGACATTTGATACACAGACAACTGCACCACACCTATAGGTAAGGAAACTAGGAATTTCCTGGATAATAAAAGAGGTCTATTCTGGGTCCTAGAAGGTTAAGACGTTATGCAGTTGACAGCTAAACACTTGGAGGGGATGTGCTCTTCACTTCTGACAAGACGGAGAGTTTATGGACGATAAACACTGGCAGAGTTAAAGGTGTTTTACTGCAGTTAGATGTGCAGTTTACTTTCACTGTACATGTGTACAAGAACAGGGTGACAATTGATTTGACTTCAGATGACTGTTTTTTTTATTCATATGATTCAAATGTCTGTCTGCTCTGGCCCCAGTGAGGATTATTGAGGACATGACACCTTTAAATAATTATGCATGCAGGTACTTTTCTTTTTTGATGTAGAAAATCTATTTTGCTGATTTAACCATTGCAAATCTCTCAGTTTGTGTATATATTTTCACATAAGAAGGAGTAAACAATTATATTAGTCAAAAAATAGCTGGGATTGGAGAGAAGAAAACAATCATTGCAATTCCTTAAAGTTAGAAGTTAGAAGATACTAGTAATGTTCTGAGTTATCACCTCAAACCCCTTTTGCCCTTTTTGGTAAGTTTTTATATATATATATATAATAAAAAACTTTTAAACTGCAGGGCTGTGACACTGGAGTTTAGGTTTGAAGATAAATACATTGTGGTTAAGGTTTAGAAAACTTTGGTTTTGGTTAAATGTTTGAAGCAAACACGTAGTCCACTTGGCAGATATGTTTCTTATCCTCACTGTGCTGATAAAAAGCACATTCTAGGGGGCATTACATTTTGTTTAGGGTTAGGTTACATATTTGCAGATGGTATTAGTCGTGCATTTATATGTAAGTTGTGTTTGTGGGAGACAGGGTTGAAATAGGTTCATGCTGGTGCATTTAAGGTGACTGACACTCAGCAGAGTACAACACTGTCCTGCACTGTTCTTCCAGCTGCAGCAGCAACATGCTGCCACCACTGCTGCCGAAGGCACATGAAATAAAAACAAGACCAAACACTATGAGCACAGCAGGTGTTACCTCATCATGATCGAGTGTTATCATGATTAAGTAGTTCATCCAAACTTCCTCCAGTTCAGTGCTGAAGTGCAGGAGAAACACAACACTTCATTATTGTTGACAAGTTTCTTTTAACTCGTTCTAGCTTCTGACTGCATACCACGCAAACGACAAGAGCCAAGGATCTGACTTTCTCCCCCCCTCGAGGGCATACTCAGGGGTGGGTAATGAACGAGAGGGCCCAGATTTTGATGTGGTTAGGGGCCAAGGGGAGAGAAATGTGAGAAGGGGTGTT